AACAAATTCTGTGGGACTGAGAAATGTTATTTTCTACTTTTTAGTCCACTTATAAAAGCGTTGTATATTAAAAAGTTTTATTTTATTTATTTTCTACTTTTTAGTCTTGTCTGTACAAAATTTTGCAATAGATATTAAAATTATTCAATTTGCAGTGAAAGAGAACAGAAGACTATGCAAGCACAATGTTGTTTGCTCACATTTAGTATAAATACATACATATGTACATACATACATATAGCAGCAGTTTATTTCATTTAAAGAAATGGCGTGTGGTCCATTTCCGCTGTGACGTATATAAATAGTGCATATATTTAGGCGCAATATTTAACTTCTTCTGGCGGGGCGACATCTAGAGTCTTCTAATTGTATCTCCTTGATATGATGCCTACAACGAGGTTGATATCTAGACTAGGTTGATATCTAGAATTTTCCATAAATAGCTTTGCTACATTTATAATAGGTGCATTCTTTTGCAACCGAGCTACAAAAGAACGCTCGCTTAAATGACAAAATACACGCAAAGCAACAACACAAACTCGGCTATTTATCCGAGCTCAGCCAGGTCGTTTAAAAAATACGCGACCTGAAGACTAGTGTTGGTAAGTGAAAAAACTGCTCTATTGTGAATTGTTAATGGGAAAGTGGATAGCAAAATTTTTGCTTCTTTTATACGTGACTTATATTTTAAAAGAGTATATATATTACGCAAATACCTGGCATAATTACTAATTTCAATTGCTTTTTGTGTCTAAATCCCGTTAAACTAATCACATTTTCTTGCCAGCTACCAACAGGGTTGCTTAAGTAGCTAAAAGGAAATTTTACCCGAGTTGAGCGTTCTTTTGTCGCTCGGTTACAAAAAAAATGCAGCTAGTATAAATGGTGGTCTGGACATACAACATTCAAAGCGGTCTGGACATACAACATTAAAAGTTGATAAAAGCGTTGTAAAATAATAATATATCTCAGTCCCATAGAATTAGTTTTGATAACTTTTGATTTTGAAATTTTAGCAAAAGTCATTATAAACAATTTATGAGATTGAAATCGAAAAACGAGGGGCGCATGCAATACAAAGCATTAGATTTAATTGACAATATTCAAACTACATACATAACATAGACCTAAAATTTCTACAGCGAAAGTACAAATTTGAGATCGACTTTAAGCGGTCGTTATTAATATACCCACATACATACATATGTATATTACTCTTCAATTTCAAATCAGGCCTATTACATGCGCCCCACGCTTTTAATTTTCAATCTCATAAATTGTTCATAATGACTTTTGCTAAAATTTCATAATCAAAAGTTATCAAAACAAGAGGTGCGTTCGACAAGTCAAAAATTTGTAATAGTTTTTCCAAATTTTTACTGGATGGCGTTCGATAACGACAAAAAATTATCCAACACTCAAAAATTGAGAGAGCAAGCGTTCATTTTGATGCCAGAGAAGCGTTCATTTTGTACAGGCAAAATTTTAGTCAGCAAAAATTATCCAACACGAAAACATATGATCACAAAACATATGGTTGCAATTTTTGTAAACAAGCAAAATTGCATTTTCCGGGTTTTGGTATTTATATGCTTTAGGCTGCCTGCTATGTGACTTTATGATAGCGCCAACTAGTTTTTACTTCTAAAAATGTTTCTGGGAACATTGAACGTTCACTTTCCTTTTTCCTTCTATGGAGACAACATGGATTTCAGTTTGTTTACAAATAAAACATAAACAAAGTCAGCTGGTGTGTCTTCTTCTTCCGGTTTTTGCAAGTAATGGCTAATTTCCTGTTCGTTTACTTTTTTGCTTTTTCATCTCTTTGGGAGAGAATTTTCGCTTACTCTCTTGATTTTGATTGTTGGCTAGTGTTGGCTAATTTTGTTATCGAACGCAACTAAGTTCTATGGGACTGAGAAATATTATTTTCTAAAATTAGTCCATTTATAAAAGCGTGGTACATTAAAATTTTTTTTTGTTTTTTAAATTTTTTTATACTTTTTAGTCTTGTCTGTATAAAATTTTGCAATAGATACTAAAATAATTCAACTTGCAGTGAAAAGAGAATAGAAGACTATGCAAGCAAAATGTTGTTTGTTCACATTTAGTATATGCCTACATATGTACATACATACATATAGCAGCAATTAATTTCATTTAAAGAAATGGCGTGTCGTCCATTTCCTGTAGCGTATGTAGTGCATATTTTTAACTTCTTCTGGCGAGGCGACATCTATCTCTGGAGATTTTCTAATTGTATGTCTTTGATATGATACCTACGGCGAGGTTGATATCTAGACTAGGTTTTCCATAAATACCTTTGCTATATTTATAGTATGGTGGTCTGGACATACAACATTGCAAGTTGATAAAAGCGTTATAAAAAAGGGTTTATTAAGTATGTAAACGTACATTTAAATAATATCAAATCGGCAAATCTTTTTTGACAATCTGCTTTTAAATCATGCGCAATATTTTTTTTCTAGCAATGGAAAATGATTAAATATAACTTTTTTGAGATCATGAATAAAAAGACGTGGTTTATCTTCAAAACTTAAAATAATTTGCGACAAATCAAAAACATTTTTATTCTCACCTCGTAGAGACAAATTCGAGTTTTGCAAATGATCAATTATGTTGGTAAAGAGCATTAAGTCAGAAAGCCAATTTTCTTTCTTCAATTGCGGGTAATGTTCCGATCTCAATTTGCGTATGTGTATATATAATAATATAATAATAGATTGGCGCTTACACATATGTTAGTGTTTGGCCGAGCTTTTGCTCCAAATTGTGGCGTGCGCCTTGACGTTGTCACACAAAGCGGAGGGACCTACAGTTCTACGCCGACTCCGAACGGCGATTGTATTTTTATGAGAAGCTGTTTTTCATGGCATAAATACACTCGGAGATTTGCCATTGCCTGCCGAGGGACGACCGCTGTTAAGAACAAACGTTTTTTCTAAATTTTTTTGCGATGTTGCTTTGACCAGGGCTTGAACCCAGGTGCTGCGGAGTGGAAGCGCGCACTGCTTACCACTACACCACAGCGGCCGACAGTGTATGTGTATAAAAAAGAACAAAATAAAAAAGCAACACAGTGGAAAAGAATGTCCATCAAAGAAACTTGTATTTTAAAAAAGTAAAATGGGCCAAAATGTTCTAAGCAAAGAGAAAGTAAAAGGAGCCGCACTTTGCTAAGCAAATATCCGCATTTGACTCAAAGAGCCGCGTTTGCCCACCGTTGGTATAGATTCTTTTGAGGAACATTCAGAAATTCCGAGTTTAGTCTTATCTTTCGATATTAAAAATGCTTACTTCGTCATTAAAAAAGAACCTGGATCCCGTTGAAATTTCATCGAAATTGTGCCTTGGAATTTTAGACTCAGCGAACTTACGACGGAATGCATTTCTATTCTATTCATAGGAAGGGTAAAGGAATGGTAAATAAATACAGGGAAATACATCCATATGTAATTCTAATTGAATTACAGAGAGTTTGAATTTAAATGTATTAAATTTTCCTTTTAATGTGACTTCAGCTAACAAAGTTTGAAACATCGGAAACCATAGATATATCCATGTTTTTCTGGCGATGTATTTTAGCATCGATTCCGATGCATCGAAACATCGATGTATCGATGTTACTCCCCATCCCTACTTCCTGATAAATAATAAAAAATTTATAAATAGTAAATATTTTGGCCCATAGTCATAGTCGTAAATTAAATCCCCTTCTCCTTAAAATACAGTTTTATTAAGTTTACAATAGATTTTTAAGTTTTGTCTGTCATAGGCATCTTAGAAACAGTTTCTTGCTAAGATGAGAGAGAACAGAGCCATCCATATCAAAAGGAAAGATGGTTACGCCATTTTTTTTTCAACTCAACCAATTTCATACCGGGCTGCTCATGCTCCTGTGCTCACCAACACAGTCACAGTTTTACTTTTGCTAACTCCTTAGGCCGTGATTACGCCACCAATTTCGATTGGCAATCACCGTGCAATTGTTGTGCAGCACGGAGTGAGAGAATTTTCGAAATCGAACAGCCAGCACGATTTGCTGGGTAAACCGAACAGCCAGCACGCCAATTTTTCAGGGTGTCAATACGCTATTTTGCGAAAAAGTATTAGTATTAAATACTAGAATAGTAAAAAATATTTTTTCATTATTATTATAAAGTAGATATTAAAAAAAAAATATTATTATAAAAATTAAATATTAAAGAAAGAAAAAATATTAAGTTGTTCTTCCATTTTTCATTTTCCGACTTAAATTTTGATGCATGTTTAGTTGCATTTTTACTTCAGTGCTGCCATTGTGTGCGAAATTGTATGAAATGGAAAAAGAAGCAACCCTGTGCTCCCCAATCAGCAAACAGAGCGTAACCACTTCTCACCAATCACCAACATTTTTCTCTTTTGATTGCCAATTAAAATTGGTAGCATAACCACGGCCTTATTTAGACTAATGAGGCTTTCGCACGAGGCGACTTTTCAGGCAACTTTTGAGTTCAACTCAAGCAGGGTTGCACGAAAAAAATTGATGGCTAAAAATATCAAAAAAAAAAAAATATAAAAATATTCGTCATAAAAAGGCGTTTCATTGTTCAACTCTGTATTCTACTTTTGGTTGTACGGCCTTTCAACTAATCGCTTTCAACAAAGTTGGTCGCCAGTCAACATTTAGCCATTTAACTTTTTTCTCGTGCAACCCTGCGAGCGAACACCTTTTAACTTGCGACGAAATTAGCCAATATGAAATGCACTGTAAAAAATTGTGACGTTTAGGGACAAAATGGTAGGTGGTCTAATATGCTAGAGCTCTTCCGCTTTCATAATTGCCATACCTTATTCGTATCTGTTTTTATTCGTCTCATTTTGTTGCAGTGTTTTTAATGTAAATATTTATGTAAATCGAAATTTTATTTTTGCAGTTTCGAGAGCAACGGCCATGAAACGGATATACTAAATATGGATGTGGTGTGGCAAATTTAGGAGAAAACGTCAAAACCGACAGCATGATAAGTCTAACAGCGAATACCATTCGATTGCAATCATTCCTATGCCTAGTTTTGCACATAAATATTGTTTTCTATCATATCAGCGCAACGCCTCAGAGCAGTTTGAATGGTGAGTAATTTAGTACATTAAGATATGAATATCACATACCATAAAATACAATCGGTAGCTTGTATGTATAGCGAACTACGCTATAGCGACCTTTTTTCGAAGACACTTCTATATTTTGTCAGACATTTGAACTTGTCTCTTGTTGAACGCGTCTTTAGCGAATTCCTCTCTATAACAGAGCTTCTTCAAGGCAGCAAACCAGCATTACTTCTGAAGCAAGGCGTTTATTCCCAGCGATGTACAAGTCGTACAGAGACAAATTATACATCAAATTAAAGTGCTCGATGTGAAACTTTGCACAAACTTTTCAGATTTCGACGTGGCATTAAGTTACGTTAAGTTTCGGCTCGTGCGAAATAAAGTCAATTGACATTATTACCTTTTCAAAAGCGAAATAAAGTCAACAAAAATTTGGAAATGAAGTCATTGACGCTATTTCCTCATTCAAATGGAAATAGCGTCAACAATGCTTAAAGTATGTCGGTTCATAGAAAAAAATTTTGTTCTTACAATAAACAATGCCCCGTAAGTGTTGTTTTATAATAGATGAAAAAGGTTATTGCCAAATTTTATTAAAAAAAAATTAAATTACGAATATGTAAAAACTCGATGCGAAAAACTAAACGCCTGCACACAGCTGGAATACGAGAAATATTTGAAGAAAGAGTGAAGAAATGATCCATAGCTTGCAAAACATGTTTCGTTTCCTCAAAAATAAATCCAACACTATTAAATTGAAGAAACAGTCCATGTCCAAAATCACCGGAGGAACACTGAAAGAATTCTGTGTTTTAAATTAGCATATTTTGAACGAATTCGGAATGTCTAAGGTGGAAAAGAAACCAACTTTTCTATAAGGAAACAATTATGGAAAAAGAATTTTCTTACACTGTATTCATGTCTCCGCCAGCAATTTGTGACATCATTTAAAACCAGCTAAGGAGAATGACGACACTATTTATTAGATGGCACATTCAACGATTATTGATTATTTAATATCGGAACCGAGATCATATAAGTTAATTGATTGGTTTTCACACACTTTTGAAACACAAATTATATGCTTTTTTACTGCAGACAAGTTGTTGCCCCAAAACACAGAAGAAATCTTCCAATTAGGGCTGGCAACTATCCTTAGTTATGAGGTGCCATATTGAGGATAAAAAAGTGCCAAAATGTGCCAAATAGAAAAACAAAAGTGCCAAAACAGGTGTCATTCCTTTTAATCATTCACGTTTCGCAATAAAATAAAGCTATATTTCCCAAACAAAAGTGCAATGATAAAATAAGATAAACCAGTTGAATAGCCTTTATAAATTAGAAAATTTTAGTTAAGAAAAAGAAGTGCACGAAAAGGATTTCACAAAAATGTATTTGTTTTGAGCGATGATTCTTAAATAAATCGGACGAGTTCTTTTTCAT